GTCCATGATGCTCCGCTGGGTGGCAAGAAACACTCTCCCCAAGGGTTTTTTCTTCCAGCCCCAGTTTGAAGTCCCCAAGCAGGCCAGGAGGTTGCAACGTTTGCGAACCTTGTCGACCACCTTGTCCACGTGCTGCTGGAAGGACAGGGTCCTGTTGATCACCATCCCCAGGAGTTTGGGGCAGGGATCGAACTTGAGGGTGTTACCCCCCATCTTAATGTCCGGCTTCCATCTGGCGTCCCCGGAGCTAGAGGAGAAGAAGGTGACCACGCTCTTCTCACTGAGGAGCATCTTCTTCTTCTTGCACCATTCTTCGATCTTCTGGACAGCCAGTTGGACGTATCTGCTAGCTTCTTCTTTGTTGTTGTGACTGGACCAGATGGTGAGGTCGTCAGCGAAGAGACTATCGTTGACAAGGTCTTTGATCTCATCAGGCAAGGAGTTGATGTAAAAGATGAACAGCAGGGGTGGGGTCACAGCTCCCTGCGGAACTCCGTGGATCAGCCATCTGGTGCGGCTAAGGCTGCCGTTAAACATCATTTGGAATTGCCTGTTGCTGAGGAAGGCGTTGAACCATCTCACTAACTTGAGAGGGACGCCTGAGTCGATGAGGGTGAGGATGAGATCTTCTTTCCACACCCTATCGTAGGCCCGGGAAAGGTCCAGGAGAGCTATGACGGTCCGTCTTGGTTTCTTCTCTTGGAAGCCGTCGCTGACGTCCTGGATCATCCGCAGGAGCTGGTCTTCGCAACTTCTGTTTTTCCTGAAGCCGGCCTGCGAATGGTTGAAGATGCCCCTGGCCTCCGCCAGATGGTACAGACGAGTGTGGATCATCCGTTCCATGGTCTTCACGATGCAGGAGGTGAGGTTGACGGGACGGTACGACTCGATCGAGCCCGCTGGTTTCCCTGCAAAGGAATGATGGTCGCATTCCGCCAAGCCTGCGGCATTTCCGACTCGTGGAGCGACTGGTTGAAGATCCCCAGCAACTCCCCCCTCGCTAGAGGTCCCAAGGCTTTCAGGAAGCTGGGGGGGGGGATGTCGTCGGGGCCAGCCGCTCCATTCTTCCTCATCTTCTTGATGGCTCTGTTCAGCTCCTCAATGCTGAACTCTACTGTGGAGCTGTCTTCCACGCTGGGGGCGTTGCCTCTGATCTTGGCAAGTCTGTTTTTCTCCCTTTCCTCACTAGAGAACTCCAGCTTGCTCACCCTGGCATAATGAGCAGCGAAGGCATCGGCTTTGCTCTCGTTAGAGACAAGGACCTTGCCGTTGTGCCGGATCGCCTCCGGAGACAAAAACCTTGCCGTTGTGCCGGATCGCCTCTGTTAGACAAAAACCCGGACGCGCGACTGGTGGGTGTCCATTCCAGGCCGGGGGCCTGTGAAGGTCCATCCACGAAGTGAGGAGGTTTCGTATGGAATCCAGTTCACCACGTGAAGGCACTCCTCTTCGAACTGGGCTGCTGCTGCTGTTGTTGTTGTTATTGTTGTTGTTGTTGTTGTTGTTGTTGTTGCTCGTGTTGTTGTTGTTGTTGTTGTTGTTGTTGTTGTTGTTGTTGTTGTTGTTGTTGTTCGTGTTGTTGTTGTTGTTTTTGTTGTTGTTGTTGTTGTTTTTTTTGTTGTTGTTGTTGTTGTTGTTGTTGTTGTTGTTGTTGTTGTTGTTGGTGTTGGTGTTGTTGTTGCTGTTGTTTTTGATGTTGTTGTTGTTGTTGTTGTTGTTGTTGTTGTTGTTGTTGTTGTTGTTGTTGTTGTTGTTGTTTTTGTTGTTGTTGTTGTTGTTGTTGTTGTTGTTGTTGTTGTTGTTGTTGTTGTTCGTGTTGTTGTTGTTGTTGTTGTTGTTGTTGTTGTTGTTGTTGTTGTTGTTGTTGTTGTTGTTGTTGTTGTTGTTGTTGTTGTTGTTTTTGTTGTTGTTGTTGTTGTTGTTGTTGTTGTTGTTGTTGTTGTTGTTGTTGTTGTTGTTGTTGTTGTTCGTGTTGTTATTGTTGTTGTTGTTGTTGTTGTTGTTGTTGTTGTTGTTGTTGTTGTTGTTGTTGTTGTTGTTGTTGTTGTTTTTGTTGTTGTTGTTGTTGTTGTTGTTGTTGTTGTTGTTGTTGTTGTTGTTGTTGTTGTTGTTGTTGTTGTTTCTGTTGTTGTTGTTGTTGTTGTTGTTGTTGTTGTTGTTTCTGTTGTTGTTGTTGTTGTTGTTGTTGTTGTTGTTGTTGTTGTTGTTGTTGTTGTTGTTGTTGTTGTTGTTGTTGTTGTTGTTGTTGTTGTTTTGTTTTGTCAATTGATTTTTTCCAGAGCTCTTAAGCTTTTTTTTGGAAGGGATAGAGTTTTTCTGGCTATAGATCTAATTCTAACAAAAACAGTTTGGATTACTAGCCAACATATCATCATAATATGGTTGGGGAAGTTTTTTTGAATAGTTTTCTTGAACCTTGCTGTCTTTGCTTAGAAGAGAGATACGGTGCCAGTCGTCAAGCAGCGTAATTTGCTTTCTCAAGTTTCGATGGAGCATTTTTCTATTGATATCATTGAAAATATCATTAGAAAATATTCTAGACTATTGATATCATTGAAAGTTTTATGGAGTGCGACTTTCAATTTGTGAGCCGTCGCATCTTCTGGAAAAAGAATTGGAGTTTTGGAAAAAGAATCAATTTTTGGATTGCGCCATTGTCTTTGGTTGCACCAGTTCCGATGACTCTTTGTTCAGTGCATTGGATTTGAATTAGAAGATTATGCCGCTGCCGTCAAAACTGAAATTTCCGGTCGCACTGGTTGGCTGATTTTGTCGGATCGGTGGTTGGCATCGGTCGCTGCGTTATTTTCTTGTTGCGCCGATCTGAATGGGATAATACTTGTTAGTGCTGGTCAGGAATTGTTAAAATGTGGGTCGCGCCGGTTCTGGCTTAAATAGCGCGATCTTAACCGGAGGGATATAAGGACCGGAAATTTAAGAAGATTTGGATTTTTAAAAGTTTGTTCTTCGCATTCTCTTTCATTTTCAAATGAAACCTCGTTTGACGCATTGACGCACTTTTTTGTTCCGGAGTTTCAAAGCAAGTAACGGAATATTCATACTTGGGTCAGTTTTTTGTTTTAATAATATTTGAACTTTTTCTCATCGTGTTAACTTTTTCTCATCGTGTTTGTCAAAACTTTCTCATACCAACTTAAAGAAACTGATGTCGTGAACTCAATTCAGAACAGCGAGAGGTTAATTGAAAGACAAATGGGGTGAGAGGGGAGAGGAAGACATAAATGAAAAAAAAATCCTTTTATGCAATTTTCGAAATTTAAACAAATTTTTTTTAAACAAAAACTGTTTCTTCCGCTTCAAGAGGCAGTCGCAACACTCATAGCTTTACCCTGATATACAAACCAATACTCAATTGCACTAACTGACACGCAAAGAGTACGTGAGAATCAAACTCATAATCTTTTCTGTCAGCAGAGAAATACGTGATTGTTTTAACAGGTATTCTTGATTTGGAGATATTGGCTGGTTGTATAACGTAAGTATTAATAGATATAAATTGGGAAGACTGGGCTCTCCCTCCGGTTTCTTAATCCCGTGGTTCAACCAATACCTGTCTCTCTGGAAAACCAGATTGGGTGGCATAATGTTTATTTAGAATAAAAATCAGCCATCCAACATTTCCGATATATCAAAAAATGAGCCACAATGTCAATAAATTATAAAAGAGAGTGAAAACTTTTCAAAAAGTATGAAATGTGGTCTTCTTTATATTTTTATTTTTAAAGACTCTTTTAAGCACTTATCGACTCTTTGAAGCAAGATCTGCAAAAACTAAATTCGAGATCGCGGGAGGCTTTCTTTTCCTTTATTCTTATCCTATATTGTCTGTCAAAATTTATCGTTTTTGGTTCCTTAGATTTCCTACCTACCACTAACTCAAAAGTTTTGCATTTTCAAAACCTTTTTTTGTATACAAACTGTTTCATTCTGCCGAAACTAAAATGTTCAAAAGCAAAAAAAAAAGATTTATATTGGTAAATGGTATAGCTCAAATTGTAGCTAGAAATGAAATTAGCTGCAATTTTCATGCTAGCTGCTTTTGTGTGCTCTTATATATTATGAAAATGAAAAAAATGCGGAGACGAAATGATTCGTAATCTGAACAGATTTCTTCAGGCAGTGTTTTAAGTGGAGAAAGTCAACAAAGTTAGAATTTCTAAAACAATTAGATTTTCCTAAATACTTTTCGTCCAAAACAGTTAGTAGGCTAGTTGAAACCCTAAACCTCTCAGTTTGAGGATCCGCAAAACATGGCTTAAATCTGTTAAACAGGTTTGACATTCCAAATACAACATATATTTTGTATCTGCAGGGTTCTTCTTGGCACAATACGTGGAATTGTGTTGATAAATAGAAGAAAACAAGATTGGTTTTACCTTTGTTGTAGAAATTAGCTGTTAAACTTTACAGTTTTTGCTCGGTTTACTGAATATTGTACAGCAAAATATCTTCTTTTTAATTGAATTCGATTTAACTTTTTATCATGTAACACTATTAGTAGGTTTTGTGAACCAAGGCGCAGAAACTTACAAAAACTCTTCTGTAAAACTATGACCCCTTTTTCGCATATTTTTTTTCAGCTTTTTCGTCTGGTGAGCCAAAAATCTAAAGCTATTATGATTATTAAATAACTTGATTGCTCATCCAAATTTAAAATATTATGTTTTTTACATCAAATAAATAATACAAGTTGTGAAATACTTTCTGTTGGAACTAAAGTTAAAAACAAAACCATTAAATTACTTGTCATTTATATAAACTGGGAATGGATTTTTCCTCTCACGCGAGTCTTTTGAATCAGCAGCGGTCCAATCACAGCGAAGAGAGCAGTCTCCACTCAGCCAATCAGAATGCAGTATTGAATTCGGGCAGCAGTGGGATGGTGGGACCTTCTTCTGTCAACGTGTTCCCTTACAGGGACCCTGAGTTTGTGTTCAACCAGCGGGGAGGGGCAAGAGTCGCCCCAGCGAACAGCGAAGGTACCCAAACTGACTTTGTTGTGAGAATATTGATGAAATCGGAAAAAAAGACAAAGAAATTTAAAATTTATGGGTTTTCCATCTTTTGATGTGTTCTAACAATGCAAGCCTCGTGGAGTATTTTTCATGTTAGCTTTTTATGTTCCAATCACTTAAAAGTTGGAAGGAACTATATGGCCTAGGGACGTTTCATTTTCACGCGATTTATTTGAAGAAAGCTCTTATATGATTGAATGGTTGTAGTGACAAACAAGATTGCTCGTTATCAGGACGAAGCGCAGAATGTTCTGAGTGCACTTCAGCCCAATTAAAATAGTTTTTTTTTGGTTGAATAATTAGCAAAAAATTGAGAAAAATAAGACATTTGTCTTTCAATTTTTCTTCATTTTTGTTGCGATAATAGGATTAAATTGCTGGCCTCTGTTCAACTTGAAACGCATTAACTCGCTTCTTACGCGTGTTTTGAGTACGTAAAATAATGCCCTTTAGTACGTAAAATATTGAACTTTTGTCAGTGATTTGGGATGAATGAAAACAGTATAAAATAATTTTCGGCTTTGTTGAACAACTTTTCATTTTTGGCACTGTTGTACTTCGGTACCGTTGTACAGTCACTTCAAAATGAGCTGTTGGTGGCCTGTCTAGGCTTAGAACAATTGCAAAAACAAGGTTTCATCAAAAAAAATTATTGGGAATCAATCCAAAAGACAAATCGAAGGCTCTTATTGTTCCGGATTTCAAAGAAAGTGCGGAATATTCATGCTTGCTGATTTTTTTTTCAGTCAATTTCCGACTTGTTTAATAAGCGTTTTTGACAATTTTTTTTTATACCATCGAAGAAATATTGTTATCTTCAGCTCAAATTTAAAAAGATATGTTACCTTTGATTTTTTTATAAAATTACGGTGGTTTGAAAATAGCTAATTTGCCGATTTTGGATAGCTATATAATATAATATAATAATAAATTGTTTCCAAACGATATCTACTTACAATGTTATTTATAAAAATTTATAAATACAAATTAGAATCGTTCGGGAGAACACCATTGGGCCTTGTTGGCTTAATGGTGTTCTCCCGAACTATTCTAATTTGTATTTATAAATTTTTATAATTAACATTCTAACTAGATATCGTTTGGAAACAATTTATTATTATATTATATTATATAGTTATCCAAAATCAGCAAATTAGCTATTTTCAAACCACCGTAATTTTACAAAAAAATCAAAGGTAACATATTTTTAAACTTGAGCTGAAGATAACAATATTTCTTCGATGGTATAAAAAAAAAATTGTCAAAAACGCTTATTAAACAAGTCGGAAATAAGAGCCTTTGATTTGTCTTTTGGATTGATTCCCAATATTATTTTTTGATGAAACCTTGTTTTTGCAATTGTTCTAAGCCTAGACAGGCCACCAACAGCTCATTTTGAAGTGACTGTACAACGGTACCGAAGTACAACAGTGCCAAAAATGAAAAGTTGTCCAACAAAGTCGAAAATTATTTTATACTGTTTTCACTCATCCCAAATCACTGACAAAAGTTCAATTTTAATGGACGGAAGTTAAAAAATTGGTCATTTTATTTCATGTCGCTTGTTAAGCGAAAAAACACAAAGAACAATTTAAAAAACGACAAAAAAAATGTTTTGTTAAGCAAGCAAAAAATCACCAAAAAATCATATATCCTTCTGAACAATTTTTTTGGAAACTTTGGAGAAAGTTTTTTGAAATCAGTACTTCAGCGCTCTTTGTAGTTCTGCAGACTACGAGAATATTCGTTAGTTATCATTTTAAGGGTGGATGTGCATTTAGGACGTGCTGAACGGGTGCTAACCTTCTTCACATAGTAATTCAACAGCTGACTATCTTTTGGTAAATAAGTTTCTCCCATCTGCACCCCAGCTGGTAATGACCATGGGCAATAGCTTTGGCTTTGTATAATAACTAATAAAAACTATTCGAACGATGTTAAAGTCACCACCGGGAAGCCGTTCTATCTTTCCTAGGCAGTAGTGGTGGTTATGACGCTACATTAAGCACATCTTTGCATCTTGAAAGTACGCACCGGGACAACGCCATTATGAGCATTGGCCTTGCTTTGACCCACGAGTATCGGTGCTTCAAATAACAGTGATTGATCATTGACTTCCAAATAGAACACCGATAAGAGGACAGCGGATCTCATTTCTAGCCTTATACACATTCTTTTAGCTCGTTATACAACTGCTTCTAACCTACCAAGATCAGCATATCTGATGACAATGGTCTCTAAAACGTATATCAGTTTTTAGGAATGTCTTGATGAGGAGACCCTTTTTCCTTAGTGTCAATCTTTTTGACACCAGGGCCATTCTAAGACATAGCATTGCTATCCTTGTCTTAGAAATGTGAGCGCTGATAGCCTTGTCAGCGCTGCCATCAGATGATATGATGCTGCTGAGGTACTCAAATTGATTAACCTGATCAACCTGATCACTGAGCACAATAATAGAGGCTTTAGTTTTTTCTTTGGAGTTTATCACAATACTTTTAGTTTTCTCGACAGATATATCTAATTGAGCCAGTCCAAAGGTTTTTACTATCTCATTCAGCGACTTGGTAGAATTTCCTTGATTGTCAGAGACCAAAGCCAGATCATCAGCGTATGCAAAGGTTCTTTTCTCTCCACTGGTCTTACTTAGGAGGAAGTCAAAAGGGATGATAAACAACACTGGGCTCGAAACGCAACCTTGCTACACCTCTCGTTTCACTACAAAAATGCTATCTTTATCATGTTATCCTCAGCTTTTTAGTGTACTTTCTACTAAAGTCAGAGAGTATATTGCTGTTCATGCGGGTCTCCATAATCGGTCTTTAGCCGCATGCAGACTTTGGTCCTTGACCTCTGTCCGATATTGACGTATACGTTGCCCGGGACTCACCACGCGGAGGTGACTGTTCGACTTTGGTCCCAGCTTTATTGAATTTGGATTCCAGCTTCAAACTGCCACGCGGAGATGACTATTTGTCTTTGGATCCCTGCTTTAATTATGAAATTTAAAAAAATTGTTTTCAGTTTATATTTCATGATACTGTTTTGTTTCTAAAATACAAACTGGACCATTTGTTGGATTTCTTTCTCTCAACTATCACAGAGTTTTTTTTTGAAATCCGTATTTCAGTGCTCTTTGTAATTCTGCTGACTACTTGAAAATTCGTTTTAAGGGTGTGCATTAAGTTATGGGCGCGCTGAACGGGTGCCAATCTTCTTCACGCAGCGATTCGGTTCCTGACTACCTTTTAGTACTATTTATGACACCCTTTTTGGTCTATCAACCCCAAAGATTTTTAAGCGGCATTTGGCGCCAGTATACCATATTTACACAGGCATCACGACATTTTACGTAGAATAATTCAATCTTCACACAACACGCAGCAAAAAAAGCCAGATGCAAAAAGGCCAACTTGCGTCTTTTGAGTTAGGACCGAAGGGTATAACTCATAGAGTAATTTCGGATAGGGTACACCATCTGCTCGTCACACTATCTTATTTTCGGCCGGATAGATTCGTGCAACTTCTTAGTCTAATACCGATCCTAATCTTACTCTTATACTATCTAGTCTCAGGTTGTTTAACTAGTCTCTGCTAGGCTCAATAGATCTAGGGTATACTGGTTTATTGCGGCTGCTGAAGTACTCGGGAGAGTTCAACTAATTTCTAAGTTTAATTCAAATCTCTCTGGTGCTGAAATTACAAGTAATTTCAGCACTTACAAATAAGTGGATTGTTAGTCAGATGGATCATGATTGGTTAATATTAAATACTTTACATTGGTAAAATATCTAATTTATCCAATCATAAAATGTAGTTTAGATCAGGTTCCACCCATCCGGGTTTTACAGAGTTTTTTAGAATAGTCTTTCTGCAATTCAAAGGATGGATGATGGACGTTGGTATTTGGCGAACATCTTATTTCTTCTGGGTTTTCTTATTAGAGAAGTCCCAGATTCAATCGTTGTGTCTTCTCAAGACAACGACTGGGTTTTCGCAACAAACTCAAATCTGATTTCAGAATGGTTGGCTATGTCAGGTTTTTCTGTTTCATTGATGAGAACTTCTTTGTGTTTTGATCTTGTCTAGGAATGGCGTGGAGATTGTGCGTGGAGGGGATGCCTGGTTACTCGGATCTGTACGTATACTTGAACATCGAGGTGGTCATTGGTCTAGTTCAATGAAGTCCTTTTCTGCGAAGTCAAGTCGTACTCTAAATCCTTTGAGTTGTGATTGTGAGCGGCATATTGATTGTAGTTGGCCATTCTTTCTCGAGTGTAGTGAGGTCGTTTTGTCTTTGGATGTTCGTCCTTGGTGTTGTATTCTGATCTATGTATTGCATAATGTAATTTACATTTTATAAAACTTTTATTAGTTTAATATTTTTTAATTATGATTTTAGTTAGTTGTTTTCACAAAAGCTTTTTGTTTTAGTTCAGTTATTTTGAAGAGTTACTCACCCTTGAGTAGCTCTTATTAAAAATAGGAGTGTGGTCACAAAGCGTGGATGTAGCACGGTGGGTTAGGCCGGCTATAGAGCATGCTCAGGACGTCCTTCCTGGTGGGTTAGGCCAGGAGTGGGAGTATGATTGCATGCGGTTTTTGTGAGAGGTCCTGTTGTGTGACAACGTTTTATGTTGGGTTTGTTGTGGTTTTTTTTATGTTTTGTTGGTTGTGTCCTTTTTTCAAAAATCAAATTGTTTGTGGTATGGGTTTGTCTTTCGACTTTTTTGTGTTTTATTATTTCTTTCTTAGACTTTATAATAGTCTTCAAAAGAATAAATTATCCAGTTTTAAACTGGGTTAATCCGGTTTGGGTACCGTTGGTTTCCTTTTTCTTAGTCATGCTGTTATGCTATGTGTTGTGGTGTTTAGTAAGCTGCATTGGTTAGTTTTGTTTAGTATATAATTCCTTTCCAACCGGGTTAAAGGAAAGTTTGAAACTTGTTATCGTATGTTAGAGT